GTTTGTTTGGTACATATGGCATTATTTTATTTTAACATATTTAATCTGCAGCAGTTTCACCTCTAGATTGTGTATCTGTGCTTCTTGGGGTCTAGTGGTTTTTAACTTTGACTGATGTATTTTTATTGAATTTGTGTTTAATCCACTGAAAAATTGTGCATATTTTTTGGGTCGAGTGGATTGTAATCTAAAAAGGATTATATGATTTTTTGTTGTATTTTCGTTTAATCTCCTGAACAGTTGTTTGCTGTGTCCAACTAGCTAACTCCACTTCTCTTATGTTGAACAAATGTTCTTGATGTCTGTGTGACTCTGCAGCATTTGCCATCACTTTCCTGTGGATTGTTTGGCGAAGTCAGTCCTTGTCTCTGTTGTCTATCTCTCAGTATTGTGTAGTCACGATTATAATCTGTTTTTGCAAACTTTCAGTGACAAAAATATAGCTCTCGTAGTTTCTCCTCATAGCTGAAGTCTGGCTCAAGTCGTGTTTTCTCTGAACCTGTGTACGAACTACACATTACTCGGTCACTGCTGGCAGCGCTGTATAACCCTAGTAGCGCTTCCTTTTGATTATAATAATAATCGGTCGCTGATTTGGTACACGAAAGGTATTTCTCACAAATGCCAGCCTCCACTCTACCTCATTGAGTGCTTAAGCTTCTATTGAAGTTAAATATCTATTCAGAAGATTTGAAGCTAATCGGGAGAGGCATTCAGAAGTCATCACATGGAAACTAATGTCTCAGTTTCTTCAATAAAAATACAAAATTGGCACCTACTCACTAAAAAAAAATCGTCTTTCTCTAAGATACCCCATCATTTAACATTTAAAGTTGATCAGAAGTGGCATTCTCCAATTATTTCATGGATTTTTTATATTTTCAAATTAAAACATAAAAATCAGTGCGAAGCCTGCTGGGAGAGAAAAGCACCGTCACTAAAAGTTTGAAACCAACCTAGTCATTCTCAAGTTGTTGCATATAAATAAATCAATTTGTTCAATAAATAATAAATTTGGGAACTTAAAACTTGTACAACCCAAAGTCTATATGATTCTTCCTTTTAGCAGCACCCACTATGGAAAGTTTGAAGCCGACTAGAAGCAGCATTAATTTGTTAAACAGCAACCAAAATCAGGAGTGATCTATGTAAAATAGAGCAGAGGGTACCTACACGTGCCAGTAGTTCCGTGAACCTTACTCTAATTACAGTACATTATCGCCAAAAATTGGAAGTTGATCAGAAAAGGCGTTCTCAAGTTGTATACGAAAACCTTAAATGAAGGAAATTAAGAGTTTAAGCACTTAGGAATCCCTGGAAGGAGGATTGCCACCACTTAGGAATCCCTGGAAGGAGGATTGCCATCACTTAGGAATCCCTGGAAGGAGGATTGCCACCACTTAGGAATCCCTGGAAGGAGGATTGCCATCACTTAGGAATCCCTGGAAGGAGGATTGCCACCACTTAGGAATCCCTGGAAGGAGGATTGCCATCACTTAGGAATCCCTGGAAGGAGGATTGCCACCACTTAGGAATCCCTGGAAGGAGGATTGCCACCACTTGGGAATCCCTGGAAGGAGGATTTCCACCGCTTAGGAATCCCTGGAAGGAGGATTGCTAATAAGTACTACTACTACTACGCTGATGTACTGCGGGACTGATTACCCCAAAAAATGTAAGTCTGCCACTGTACCCTTGCATGGGCGTGTACCGTGCACGAATCTATTGGGCTGTGATCAGTATTTCTGAAGGCGGTATTTTTTTCCCCCCAACCTTTCCTCATTTCAACCTATTGACTTCGTCGTAAACTTTGCGTCAGTTTCTTAAAGCTATATTCTGTATTTTTGGCTAGGTTACAGTAATGTATACAAACTTGTATTTAGCCATCAAATAAGTAAATTAAAGAAAAATGGCCGGGTTAATACTGGTGGTGTGAGACGAGTTTGTTGTTGTCAAGGCTATGGAACAGCTATGATGGCACCAATATTACGTAAAGACACTGTTCAAGACATCGAGAAACAGTTTCGCTGCGAGTGGCTTCATCAGAACTGATGAAGCCACTTTTGGCGAAATGTTTCCTCGATGTCTCGAACAGTGTGCAAGTCTATATCCAGTGTTGTGAGGGTTAAATAACAAAAAAAGGCACAATACCGTGACTGGAACGATACACAAATAACCCGCACATAGAAGAGAGGAGCTTAGGACGACGTTTGGGTCCGACTTGGACCATTTACAAAGTCACACTCCACTTCTCGTTAGTGTGACTTTCTAAATGGTCCAAGTCGGACCGAAACGTCGTCGTAAGCTCCTCTCTTCTATGTGCGGGTTATTTGTGTATTGTCAGGGTTGCCTCACACCTCACTTGTCCAGGGAAGAGATTCTTGTAACGGATTTTCAAGGTATGGTTGTAAAACGGAAGACCCTTTGCCCAACTCGCACACTCTTCAGTCACTGCCGGCATGGAATGGGAGGTTTTTGAAAAATGACATGGGATATGCAAGTGTAGGAGAGATAGTGTATGGAAGGGAAGGCCGGGGCTACTAACTTCGGGTGAATGTTTTGTTGCTTTTTGCCTCGTGTTGCTTTGCTATTTTGTTTTGTTGCTCTGTCATAGGTTTGTTGCTTTTTGTTTTTCTTGCCTTGTTGCTTTGTCTTATTGCACTGTTGCTTTGTCTCGTCTTTTGTTGCTGCTTTGTCTTCCTTTGTTGTTTGCCGTTACCACTATTCACATTATTCAACTTCCGTCCGTAGAGATGTGACTGTGGCTCTGTATACCACTAGTTCTGTCTGGATACCACTGGGTCTGTGTCTAGATATTACAGAATGCTACTGCATAATGTGCAACAGATAAACGTGAACATCAGGATGTTTGTGTAGCTTCGCAGCGCTGTATAGCCATTGTGGTTTAGCGCGTCTTTTTTATCATAATTGTGTAGCTTCACCGGATTCTTTGCTGGGAGGAAGGGAGGCACAGTCTTAGTTATTTACTCAGGTCTGTGTCCACCTGGACCAGCACCAGCTGTGAGCTGAACCTACCCGTGAGTCACCTTTAACAACAATACCATCGTGAGTGATGCACTGAAACACGGTTCGCCTTTGTAGCAGTGATTTTTGTTCATTGTCACGTAGAAGGTAGAAAATTTCAGTCTGGTAGGATGAAAGGTTCTCGAGTTTTCGGAAAGTTGAATTAAAAAAAATTAGGCAGCTTGAAAGCACTTGACTTGTACTCGTTGGAACGCAGGAGGGAGAGATATATCATAATCTACACTTGGAAAATCTTGGAAGGAATGGTCCCAAATCTGCACACAGAAATCACTCCCTACGAAAGTAAAAGACTGGGCAGGCGATGCAAAATGCCGCCAATAAAAAGTAGGGGCGCCATTGGTACACTAAGAGAAAACACCATAAGTGTCCGGGGCCCAAAACTGTTCAACAGCCTCCCATCAAGCATTAGGGGAATTGCCAATAAACCCCTGGCTGCCTTCAAGAGAGAGCTGGACAGATACCTAAAGTCAGTGCCGGATCAGCCGGGCTGTGGCTCGTACGTCGGACTGCGTGCGGCCAGCAGTAACAGCCTAGTTGATCAGGCCCTGATCCATCGGGAGGCCTGGTCGTGGACCGGGCCGCGGGGGCGTTGATCCCCGGAATAACCTCCAGGTAACCTCCTCATTCTCGTATTCATAATATCATCATCATTCGATGAGGCGTGTGCGCGCGCGTGTGTGTAATCACTTGTTTGTGGTTGCAGGGGTCAGTTCACGGCTCCTGGCCCTGCTGTCAGCATAGTTAATGTATATGTGTAGCATATCTTAGTATCGTAGTTATTTGTACAAGAATGGTATACAGTACCGACAAGATGAAGTTAAGACACATGTGCAACATCTGGGTATATTTATTGTAGACGTTTCGCCATCAAGTGGCTTTATCAATACAAATTCCAGGACATAATTTGAAGACAGTAAAACTATATATAGAAGATGAGGTAATCAGTCCCTCAACCTTAGAGTTGGTGCGAACAGCACCGTAGTCGGGAAGATTTTCCACGACTACGGTGCTGTTCGCCTCTTCACTGATCGCTACTAGCCACCATCTCTCCCTGTTCTGTGAGCTTTATAGAACTTCGTCTTAAAACTATGTATGTGACAACTCTAAAGAAATACTAACAGCCCTTTGACTCATCTGAGTCTTCAGCTTCCAATTGTGACCCCTTGTTGCTGTGTCCCATCTCTGGAACATCCTGTCTCTATCCACCTTGTCAATTCCTCAGTATTTAATGTCGTTATCATATCCCCCGTATCTCCCCTGTCCTCCAGTATCGTCAGGTTGATTTATCTTAACCTCTCCTCGTAGGGCATGCCTCTTAGCTCCGGGACTAGGCTTGTTGCAAACCTTTGCACTTTCTCTAATTTCCTTACATGCTTGGCTAGGTGTGGGTTCCAAACTGGTGCTGCATACTCCAATATGGGCCTGACATAGTGTACAGGGTCCTGAACGATTCCTTATTGAGATGTCGGAATATGTGCGCGCGCGCGCGCGCGTGTGTGTGTGTTTGTACACTCGCCTAGTTGAGGTTGCGGGGGTCGAGTCCGAGCTCCTGGCCCCGCCTCTTCACTGATCGCTACTAGGTCACTCTCCCTGAACCGTGAGCTTTATCATACCTCTGCTTAAAGCTATGTATGGATCCTGCCTCCACTACATCGCTTCCCAAACTATTCCACTTACTGACTACTCTGTGGCTGAATAAATACTTCCTAACGTGTGTGTGTGTGTGTGTGTGTATGTACGTACGTACTCGCCTAGTTGTGGTTGCGGGGGCCAGTTCTTTGCTCCAAGTGCATTAATGTTCACCCAGAATCACTCGTGCGCTCACATAATTCACCTAAATGCTGTTTTCTTCACCTCCTTGGTGACAAATTACAATGTTGAAAGTACGTTTTAGTTTGATGATGTTTAGGTGTAAAGGCACCACCGCTAATGCCCATCTTTTCTTTCTTCCCCAGAAATTTAGAAGCTGCTAGTCATATCATCGCGAGAGTGCGCCTCAGTCTTGTCCATCAGCACAAAGATACATGTCCCTTAACGTCGCTCTCCTGAAGCTCTGGAAACAGCTTCCTCTTTGTATCACCCAGGGCATTCAGAAATTTGGTCAAAATGCTGGACCGAGTTTCAGGCAGTACTAGCAGCCGCAGCCGAGCACTCGTGTAGTCTCCTGTTGGAGGCGTCTTGGAGACTACTAGTTGTATTGGTAATGAAGTTGGCGTGCTAGATTCACGGTGTGGATCACAACAGTATCCCGCGGTGCAGTTTAACAAAAGTGTCATCGTCTCACGCCTTCTTGTTCAGGCTTTTCAGAATGGAAAAAAAATCAGAAACTTTAACTTCACGAGATTATTTATTTTGTAAAACTTAAAAATAATGCTTAAAAAAATTCAGTCAGAATTGAAGGAATTTACCTGATTGAAATTTGTCTGTGATAAAGTACACTGTTGAATGTGTACAGATGTGATTATCTAAGTTGCTGAATAAATTTGGGGAGGGGGGTGGGGCCCTTGTCTGAGGAACTGTGTTGAGTGATGCAAGTGGGTGTTGGTGAGAGTTAGTTATCGTTTCTTGTACTCTACAGTTTTTCCTTGTTTCTGTAAATATAATGTGCAATATATATATGTAAGATTTAAGTCCAGCACCTGCAGTGCTGCTGTCCAGACTCGGCAGGTGTTGTACGCAGCACTTGGGTGCAAGAAACATGGCCCTCCTAATCAGCCTCAAGCTCCAGGAGGTTGATATATATAAACTGCTGGTGTATCACGCACATTAACGAAATAATCAACCTGAAGCAGTACCAGTGCAAGTATGGTTAGTGTTGCACCATAGATTGAGATTGTATTATGATGCAGTCACTGTTAGTACACATTCTTAGTCGAGTGTAATATTGAGTGCAGAGGTGGCACAAAACTTAGTGTATTTTTCTTCGGTTTAATATGAATGGGAATCTCCTTTTGTCATTTTTTTTATCAGCCTAGTTTAAATGTAAGTGGTACAAATATTACCAGTTAATTCCTATTACTTACTCATCGGGTAGATCCAGGTTTCACTTGGGTAATGTGTTCTTTGTCTTTGGTCAGCTAGCATGATTTATTTTGGAATGTCAGTTGTCTGGTAGTCACCTACTTGAGTTCCTGGAAACGAGTGCCTTTTGGAAGTACGAGGAGATAATGAGTTTCTTCTACATTTACTGATAAGATGCATTTTCTCCTAGTGAACGTATATAGATATTGGGTCAAAGGTTCATGATGGGTGCTTTCACTGTGTCCTTATAACGTGCATATCAGTGGCAGCTGATGGAAGTAGACATACTTCATGATCTCGGTGTCGGGGCATGTGCAAAATTAAGGTACACAGGAACTCAAGATATGTAAAAAAAATAGCTTTGCATTCATTGTATGGGAATTTAGGAAGTGTGTTAAGAAAGTCATTAGCCGAGCCCATCCTAGCTCTGCACTAGTGTCAATAAATGTACAGAGGTTTCATGTAGAGGAGGCTGGGCTCGCCATCAACAAAGGAAGTCATCTTGATATAAATGTGCATGACTGCCTCTTGTTGAGCCCTCATTATCCAGTATATAAGCATATAAAGTATAGATTACTGTATATGAATATGTTTCCATTTTCATGTTCACAAGCAGTGCTCTGCAGCGCATAAAGTAGGTCTTCGTGGTACGGTAGACTTAATTTACACTTGTTACCTCAGAACCGGGAAATATACCCACCTTGTCAACTGTAGTAGTAGTAGTAGTAGTAGTAGTAGTAGTAGAAGAGCACTAGCCACGTTACCACAAGACTACTATAAACATCAGGAACCGGCTGCTGAGCAGAAGGGCTGCCATCGTGTCTAGTCCCTGAAATCTGATATGGTCGTGTATGGCAGGTCCAATAGTTGTGAGCGTATTAGACATTAAGTGGTCTTTGCAGTGTGGGTTTAGTGCCACGCTCGGAAACTTGCGGCCTTTATAACCCGTCGTAGTATACCGTAAGGAATATTGAAGTGGCTGGAATAATAGGTTAAGTACTAGTAAATGAACTCTGCTACGTCCAGTGCCTGATACCCTGTGTCTGCATAGAATAGCCAAGTGTCGTGGTATACATTTAATGAAGTTCTTTGGAAGGGCCTATTATATATTGCACAAAAAGAGCCCAAGGCAGTGTAAGTTCAGGAAAGGTTAATTTAAGTAAGACATGGCAAAGCTACTTAGGGATTATATAATGAATCAAGGGATAGTATGGGGATTATGTGCATTCTTAAGGAAGGAACGGAAACTGTAGTATGGACACTATCCCCTTGGACAGTTAGTGATCAAGAAGTGTTTTGGCTAGATGGTATAGTTTCTTTGAAGGGAATTGTGAAGTTACTTGGAAGGATTCATAATGTAAGGGGGACTGTGTGTGTATGTGTGTGTGTGCGTGCGTGTGTGCGTGCGTGCGTGTCAGCGTGCCAAACTGTAAAATAAATGTGATTCGACCAACTGTAGTTGAGTTGCAGATGTCGCTGCGGAAAGTGTTTTCTAGGGACACTATTCCTATCACTGTCCTCCCAAAATTCTCGTTGTTGCTCAAGATGTATCCAGAGTTCCTTTGGTTAATGTTTCCTGTGTGTGTGGTTGACCCCGTGTTGGTCATCTTGCTAAGGAGTGGAAGTAGCTTCGACGGTCAAGGTCTCACATTATCCCGTCCCCAGTATAAACTGCTTGTTACCCTTGAGGCTATTTCCACACCTCTGGCGAGATGTCACACAGACACTATTGCTGCTGTATAGCCTATAAGTTAAAATAAACATCTGAACCACTGTTATAATTATTTTGAATGTGTTTTAGCATTTTTTTAAACATTACCGTTTCTAGTTGTAGATAGTTTCATGCAAAGCAACCTCCACGAATGAACAATTATCTGCAAGGTATAATTGAAGGTGGCGGATGTTGCTTCTTGCTTACACTTTATTTTTGGTTGTGTTGATTTTATATACATCTTGAGAATACTGCGAACAGTGGTGATATTCGCATTAATCGTTAATTGCAACTAGAACAAAACTAAAATCTACATGAATTATCTTGCAATCTCTGCCAATGAAAAGATTGCAACTATTATATTTTTACGATATTTTATGATTTTTTTTTTTTTTTGCAAACTACTAATAAACACATTAATGTGCCCACGACTTCGATTCATTTATCTAAAGAACCAATCAAAAACACTGTTGTCACTAGTTTATTTCTTCCCTGTACGCACCAGTGTTCTGAACATAAGGTAATCACATCCAACCGAGTCTTTAATATCCCCTTGGCCAGAGTTTTCTGCTAATCAGTGTAATGCTAATACTGTGTATACTACAATCATTTGAGATTAGTGGAGATTTTGAAAAAAGATGAAAGATTACCAGTCTGCCTGCAGATTTTTTTTTTTTGCAGTGTTAATTTAAACGCAAGAGGATTATATGCAGATCATCCAGTCGACCAGAGGTGACCAGACTTGAGACTGATATACTTACTCAATAGTTCTACATATATGATTTGTGTGCACTCGCCTAACTGGTTTGAGGGTTCTCTCATATAACCCCTCAAGGGGTCATACATTATATATGTTATATGATGCTGGTAAAGGGTTCTTGATCTAGAGAATGGATCTGTACTCCAGTTCCCTGAATACCTTCCACCCCCCATACACAGGCGCTGTATAATCCCTACGGGTTTAGTGCTCCTCATAATCGTTATTGAAAATTATGATCAAATAAAGCGCTGGAAAACGTATAAAGGAGGATGACAAAGTTGATCCCATGTATCAGAAATCTTCCCTACGAGGATAGACTGAGGACCCTGAATCTGCGCACTCTAGAAAGGCGTAGAATTAGGGATGATATGATTGAGGTGTATAAATGGAAAGCAGGAATTAATAAAGGGGATATAAATAGCGTGCTAAAAATATCTAACATGGACAGGGCTCGCAGCAATGGCTTTAAATTGGAAAAAATCAGATTCAGGAAGGATATAGGAAAGCACTGGTTTGGTAATAGTTGTGGATGAGTGGAACAAACTCCCGAGTACAGTCATAGAAGCTAAGACGTTGCGTAGTTTTAAAAATAGGTTGGATAAATACACGATTGGGTGTGAGTTGGACCTGACTAGCTTGTGCTACTAGGTCGGATGCAGTGCTCCTCCTTTAAGTGACGTGTCTGACCTCACTAGGTCAAGGCATTGATTACCTCATCTTTTGTATATAGTTCTACTGTCTTCCTATATGTCCTAGAATCTGTATTGATAAAGCCACTGGATGGCGAAACGTCTACAATAAAGATATCCAGATGTTGCACATGTGTCTTAACTTTCAAGGCATTGGCTTAAGCCGGTGGGAGAATTGGAGCTGCCTCGCAGACCAGTAGGCCTGTTGCAGTGTTCCTTTTTTATGTTCTTATGAGGGCAAATATTCTATTAGTGGGATGGATTTGTGAAGGACCTACCTAGTATGGGCCAACAGGCCTGCTGCAGTGTTCCTCCGTTCTTATGTACCCCTCTTTCCCTCCCTCTCCCCAACTACCCCTGACTTGCAGACTCCTCGCTGGTCTCTGAGCTTCACGTATTTCATCTTCACATCCTGCCGCGCATTATTATAAATCATAACTAAGCTCTAAACCCACGAGGGTCATACAGCGCTGACCTTAGCCTAAGGTAGAGGTGTACACAATTCTCTAACCTCATATAAGGCAAGAAACCTGTGTACTGGAAGCGAGGTGTAACAACCTAAGACAGGCCACAGTTGAACCTCGTGACCCAACTAGTGGAAACAGGTCAAGCTAAGTTCGTACTAGCAACAGATATGAAGTTATTCCTTAGTCCAGCAGCGCTGCATGACCTTGGTGGTTTAGCGCTTAGTTTTGATTACAATAACAATATCCTCTGTTTCCAAGAAACGATGGTCTTGCTGTGTCAGAAAAACATTCCATGAAAAAATAGTATAAAATGCTGAATATGAGAGTGACCAATATCGTGCCTCGGTCACGACGTTATCTCTGGCTCCAGTAAACAAGTATGATGAATGGTTTGAAAAACCGACAAGTTGAAGATTGAGACACTTATGCAGCATATGGAAATCTTTATTCAGGAAACGTTTCGCCACACAGTGGCTTCATCATCTTGTTACAAAGAATTCTTCAACACTTGTTCAACCTTTGGACGAAGACCTACTTCGACTAGTGGATGGTACCACTATGACCCCGCCTCCATCTGCTTCACGTCACCTCACTACAGTATATAAGCCACGTCTACGGCCCTATGCTGTACATTCTACAAGATTGATGGACTGAACACATCGACTCCAGGTTGAGGGACTGATTACCTCATTCTCCTCCCCCTCCTTACGCCTTCCTCTTTGTATTGGACTGATGAAGCCACTGTGTGGCGAAACGTTTCCTGAATAAAGATTTCCATATGCTGCATAAGTGTCTCAATCTTCAACTTGTCGGTTTTTCAAACCATTCATCACAACTGTCAGACACTGCAGCATCATGGGATCTTGTTACAAAGAATTCTTCAACACTTGTTCAACCTTTGGACGAAGACCTACTTCGACTAGTGGATGGTACCACTATGACCCCGCCTCCATCTGCTTCACGTCACCTCACTACAGTATATAAGCCACGTCTACGGCCCTATGCTGTACATTCTACAAGATTGATGGACTGAACACATCGACTCCAGGTTGAGGGACTGATTACCTCATTCTCCTCCTCTCCTTACGCCTTCCTTTTTTGTATTGGACTGATGAAGCCACTGTGTGGCGAAACGTTTCCTGAATAAAGATTTCCATATGCTGCATAAGTGTCTCAATCTTCATCCAGTAAACAAGACTTGTTAGGTAAGACACATATGCAACAGTTAGACAACTTTATTCCGAAACGTTTCGCCTACACAGTAGGCTTCTTCAGTCGAATACAGAAAGTAGGCAGGAACAGTAGAGATGTGAAGACGATGTAATCAGTCCATCACCCTTAAAGTCGTAGAATTTGAGGTTCAGTCCCTCGGCCTGGAGAAGTTCAGTTCCATAGTCAGGAACTATCTGAAGATCAAGCAAACAAACAAACAAGTTTAGGTAAGATCAAAATGGGATGAGCGGGGAAGATGGGACAGATGAAGAATAGCTCTGGAGAGGAGTGTTCTTAGTAAGAGAAATAGAGCCAGGGCTTAACCCAGCAGCTAAGGCGATCGTGGGGCAGACTTGAGAACAGGAATAGCAGGGACTGTTGCATTGAACTTGTTGTAGTTGAAGTCTTGAATCTTGAGTAGCTGGCAGCAGGCTAGGTCACATCAGAGGGTAGAACACATATGGGAGTTACAGGAGTAACTGAGGAGGCAGGTTAGCAATGGAGCCATTTTCAAACTTTTGAAGCTGTTTTCTAGATAGGTGGTATAATTTACCCTTGTTGCTGAAGGTGAAACGTAGAGGCTTGATGAACTCAAGAACTTGGGTGAGTGTGAAGTGAAGCGGTGATTCACATGCATACTTGACTGTTCCAGCACCGAGGCTTTTGTAGAGTTCAGTACAGGTCATGGTGGGCAGTATTTGAAGGAGAAGTGTAAAAGGTAAGGTTTTCCCATGAGGGTTTACTGGAGTCGTCGTTATCTTCCTCTTCTGGAGTGGATTCATTGGGAGAATCTACAATGGTGGTAGCAGGTGACTGAGGTTCGACAGGAGCAGCTGTGAGGTGTAATGGTTGTGTAACAGCAGGCTGGGAGAGGTGGGAGGCGGTGGTTGAGGCAACTTGATCAACGTTGTCAGCGGTGGAAGTGGTTATAGAAGTTATAGGAGCAGTTGCTTGGCCAGGAGACAGGTCTGTAGGTGCAGTAAAGTTCAGGACGTTGGGAAGGATCTTAAGATAAGATAAGATAAGATTTCGTTCGGATTTTTAACCCCGGAGGGTTAGCCACCCAGGATAACCCAAGAAAGTCAGTGCGTCATCGAGGACTGTCTAACTTATTTCCATTGGGGTCCTTAATCTTGTCCCCCAGGATGCGACCCACACCAGTCGACTAACACCCAGGTACCTATTTGCTGCTAGGTGAACAGGACAACAGGTGTAAGGAAACGTGTCGGAATTTCCACCCGCCGGGAATCGAACCCGGGCCCTCCGTGTGTGAAGCGGGAGCTTTAGCCACCAGGCCTTGAGGATGTCTTCTGAATGTGTGGATTCCGGAAAATTGAAGGCAGGCATGTTGTTCAGACGGAATAGTTCGTTAATAGTGGTGTTGAAAGTGCCGGGGCTTGCTGCGTTTGCAAGGTGTGCATACACCATGCAGTACAGCACCTTGGAAGGAGCACCGTCGGGGAGTGGAGAGAGGGAGTTGCTGGGCGATGGTGCCTGTAGATTAGCGTGTAGAGTCTTGATGGCGTCGGTTTGTGGTTTGGTTATTGCAGCGTATGTCGGTGAATTGGAGGTGTTCTTCAGAACTTTAGTTTTCTTCAATATGATTTCTTTCCTGAGTGGGCACTTAGCTGCAAGGGTATGATGATTACCCTTGCAGTTAAGACATGTAGGTGCTGTAGTAATGGTGCAGGATCTGAAATCGTGTCCATCATTCCCACATTTTGAACAAAACTTCTTATTCTTGATGGGGCAGTCCTTGGTGGTGTGATTATAGGAGTAGCAGGTCCAGCAGTGGGAGATGTATGTGAAACGTTCTTGTTCTATATGACTTGGGTGAATGTGGTAATATGAGATGGCCAGACCGTCAGAGAGAGCTTGGGCAGCCATGGAGATGTCTGAGAATGTAATCTTTAGCATTGATGCGGCGTTGGGGATCTTTGAGATGCTGTCTACCGAGGCCCACGTGTTTTGTTCCTCAATAGATGTCTTCAGTGCTTCAGTAGAGAGAGAGGTGACCATATTGTCCAGTCTTTTCACAAAGACCGAACGTTTCGACTTCAAGAATGGAGACGGGGATAGAGTGAATTGTTGTGTTTGTAGGGTCCTGATTGAAGAGTAGTCCATAAGTTTTAGTGCTTCCGTGTCATCTGTGCAGACGACAATGAAGGAGTCTTTCAGAGAGTGGATTGCCGTAAATTTGACCTGCAGGCAGGTCCTAACGACGGTAGCTAAAGCTAACTTCGAGGAGTCATTTATTGCACCATTCACCATTCAGATAGTTCCTGACTATGGAACTGAAC